TTGCGCGCAAAGAACTCAACATCGGATGCCGGAACGTGCACGCACTACTGGACCGGAACTCGAGTGAGCGCCCCGAGCGACACACTACACTGGTCACGAGGAAACTGGCGTGGTAGAACATCAACATTGCGGCGTCCATTGAGACCCGGCTCGCTGAGCAAGATAAGGTGCATGAAGCAAGTGCTGACTACATGTTCTATTGGGTGGGAAACGCCACCTCAGCACCACCTGAACATGAGGTCGAATTCGCAATATCTGATCGTCTCCATGGCCCGCTCGTGGATGAACTAACAGGCATTAGCGCGCGGCTAATGACTGTTCGCCTACGACTCGGAAGAGGTAAATTTGCCACATTTATACGCACGTACGATCCGACCACGTGTTATCCCAATGACCCGCTAGTCAATTCTAAACCTGGTTATCCTCTACCATACGGTCCGTGCTGAGGAGCGACCGAGTATTTTTGCTGAGTGATTTCAACGCGCGTGTTGGGCGTGATGCATCGGTGTGGACAGATGTCATCGGTCCGCATGACATTGGTTCAGCGAATACGAATGATGATAGGCTACTCTCACTGTGTGCCACTCACGGCCTGACGATTTGGAACACTCGGTTTGTACTGAATGCCAGCGATATAGTAACTTGGACGCACCCACGGAGTGGTCACGCTCACCTGCTCGACTATGTCACCGTATGTCAGCGTGATATGTATGAAGTACCCATGACACGTGTACTGCGTGGAGCGGAGTGTGGCACTGAGCACAAATTGGTGCGGACCAAAATGTACATATATTTTCGTAAATCTATGTATTGCACTCCCGCCGTGAGTAGTCGTAAATTTAATATTCTCTCCCTCGGACTTCTAGAGAACCGTATTAAGCTGGAGAAGGCGATGGCTGCGCGCCTGTGTAATTGGGAATGCATAGCCACAGTGGGCGAACTGTGGCAACACATTCGCTACCAGGTAACGGCTGCTGCCGAGGAGACCATCGGGCGCGCAAACTGTAAGCGGTCAGATTGGTTTGATGAGAACAATAGGACGATTGGCGCATTGATATCAAAGAAGAATGAAACATTTGCTGCACATGTGGCAGACCCCAGTGATTTGGGGAAAAAGAGAAACTGGCAGAATTCGACTAGGACTGACCCGAGAGCTCCGTTGCATCAAAAATGCATGGTGGACGGGGAAGTCGAGGCAGATGGAATGCTACGCCGAACGCCGCCAACACAGCTAATACTGAATCCACGAAGGCGGTGTATTGACCGCGGATGGAGCGGCTGAGGACGCTGATCGATGTTACCTCAGGCGCTATCTGCACATACATTGCAGACATAATGCAAATTTGGCAGAATCCCTGAGCGTTTCTTGAACAACCGTTCAGAGAGCGACTGACCTACCCAGGACAGCCTGAAGCAGCACGATGTGCAGGCGAATCTGGCGGACATGCCGACACTCAATGAGACGCAGAGAGCACTTGCTCAGCTGCGAAACGAAAAGTGTGCCCGTATCGACGGCATCCCGGCTGAAGTATTGAAACACAGCGGACTTGCGTTGATGAAAGCTTTGCATCACTTAGTGTAACGTGTGTAGAGTGAGAAGGAGGTGCCTCCTGAGCTGAAGGATGACCTTGTGCTATCACAGTACAAGGGCAAAGGGAGCAAACAATGTTGCCCGAAATATCGTGGTAGCAACTTGCTGAGTTGTGTGAGCAAGGTGATTGCCCGAATCCTGCAAAACCGCCTCGCCAGTCAGGTTGTGGAACAAGACGTAACAGTGTTGATTCGGTTCGGGTCGTAGCACCATCAGTTTGGTGTTTGTGTCTCTTCTGTTGCAGGAGAAGTGCAGAGAACGACACCAGCCATTGTACTCGCTTTTTGTCGATTTCAGCAAAGCATTTGTTACGGTGAACCACGAGGCATTGTGGCTGGTGTTGGGTAAGTTTGGTTGTCCGAGTAAGTTTAATTGAATGTCTGCACAGTGGTATGCGAGCGAGGGTGCAGCCGAGAGAGACCTCGGATGAGTTTGTAGATGTCTCTGGTGTGAAGCAGGGCTGTGCCTTAGCTTCTGCCCTGTTTAATATCTATCTTCATACAATGAGGTCTTGTGATTTTGTTGCGGCTTGTGCTTACGGTGTTCGTGTGGAGCACCGTATTGATGGTGGGTTGCTGAACATCCGTCATTTCGGTGCGAGAACCCTAGTCTGTGAGACAACTATCAGTAGGTTGCTGTTCGTGGACGACTGGGCGTTATTTGCACACAGCGCGGATGAGTTGCAGCACATAACTAGTACGCTGGCTTTGACAGAGGCCAAATTCGCGCTTACCATCAACACAAGCAAAACTGCTGGTATCTTTCAGCCTCCACCGTAGGTAGAATCTGCAACGGCGCCGCGAATCAGCATTGATGACGACGTATTGAAATCCCCTGCAGCTTCTGGTATCTTGAGTGTGTGATGTCGACTGACGAGCAGATACACATTGTGCTTCGTATCCGCATATTGAAGGCAGCGGCCGCACTCGAGAAGTTCGAGTACCGAGTGTGGGAGAAGCACCAGCTTACAGCGGACACGAAGCTGTTGGTGTATACATCCATGGTGTTGTCCATTCTTCTATACGACAGCGAAACATGGATGATGTAGCGGCGAGATGTGTGATATCTCGGGCGGTTCCAACACCAGTGTCTGCGACGAATTCTGTAACTTGGTTGGTGCGACAGAGTTGCAGACACGGAAGTGTTGCGCCGAAGTGGAATGTAAGTAATGGACTGCACACTTTTGCTGAGACACCTGAGGTGGCTCGGTCATGTGTGGCGTATGGATTCGACGCGGATACCGAAGCAGCTATTCTTTGGTCAATTGATTGCTGGAAAGCTGCATGTGAGGAAATGGAAGTTACGTTACCAGGATATGATCAAAGTGAGCGTATCACGTCCTAATGTTGATTACAGACGTTGGGAAACGAAAGCGGTTGATCGGCGTGTATGGCGTGATCTGATTACGAATGCAGTTGCCGACGTGCAAAAGAAAGTCGGCGTGCATGCGGAGAGGAAACGGCAAGTGCTGAAGCGACTGGTGCCGATAGATTGTACTCCATCGACGTCGAGCGCATGATGTCTTACCACATGCGGTCGCTAGTGCTTGAGTCAGGCAGGCCTCGTGAGCCATCAGCAGGGACACTCCACGCCAACACCGAACCGACGGTGAGTCCTGCAGAGAACGTAGGCAGAACCGGCGCAGCGTTTGTAGGTACGCTGCATCGGATTTACTAACCACGTGCTCGCATGCGGAGCCTCTTTATGTCATGTGACTGGTCCGCTATATTGTGTTAATGCTTATTTTGTTATCTGCTTTTAACGTCTAGCTGAACTAGTAATAAGTTGCACACGTCGCTTAAGCTAATCGTAGTTAACTTGGATAAGATTTTCGCGTTTATGACGTTTTCTTAGAATTTATTTTTTGACCTCTTGTACCTATCGCGCATCTGTAGGCAACCAGTTCGATTCATATGCTCATTTGCTGAAGAGTAACGTTAGCATTATGCATTATTCGAGTTGTTTTATTTAATATCGTCGCTCAAGTGATTGGCTGTTGGCTGATTTCTCCAATGTGGTAGCGCTTGATGTGCATGTTGACAAGGTGTCTACCTGTCTATTACTCGCTACCTCGTCCCTACTGGCTCCAGGAAACAGTTGGTCGTTGCTGGAGGGGACGGGGTGCATGGTCCTTCTGGCCGTGCTAGGCTCGAAGAGTGGTACCATGCACTTAGTGTAGAGCGGATTACGGTCCAGCCACCACCTAGTGTGCATTTGATTCCCAAATACAGCGTTGTTATGTTTACCTGTGAAGGAGTGTGGGCCGGCTTTGTTGATGAAACCTGGCTCCCACCCACACGCCTCCCGGTCCTATTCCTTCGGGTTTACACTGGATATGGGATGAGTGCATGGAGCTGTGGGTGGTGTAGCGCAAGCGACCCATGATCCCTCTATATGCGCAGGCGTCCTGTAGCTGACCATAGTGACAGACAAATCGAAAACCGGAGGTCCGCAAACATATATATATATATATATATATATATATATATATATTGCGTAATCGCAATGAACTTATTCATATGACCCTTGCGCTTCTGGAAAAACACTAAACGTTCCAGTGGAAGTCAGTATTGATCACTTGCGCAGTGTTGCCATTGTCCCCGGGGGTGACAATAACGGTGAACAGAACTACGTTTGGATCTTAGTGGATGAGCTCGGCTAATCATGGATTACCAAAGTTCTGTGGAAAACGCAGTGAAACCCATTCAAATTTACGGATATACTACATTCGCAGAAGTGGGGCACAATTTCTGTTACAGTTCAATGCACCTCATGGCAAATTGTACACAGGTGTAGCTGAATGCGGCTAATTGTATCGTTTAAGAATACTTTGGATATTGTACATTGAGGACCACATTCCACTGCACAATAGACCTTTGGAAAGGTATAAAATTTTCGGAACGAGATCTAACTATCTAATCTCAGACTGGTGCTGCTGGTCGCTGTAATAACTAACCCGCAGGAGATGTGTCACGCGTATGGCCCGTATGTTTTTCATCCTGTGGCAAGTGCATTTGTAACCTACTAAAGGATTTGGTTTGCAAATGAAGTTAGCGGAGTTCCGGTGGAACTGTGTTAGGGGATGGGGAAATCGGCTGGTCTGTGCAGAATCCCGCCTTTCTCTAGAACTCGAGTCCATGTCAGCCTGACGCACGTATCTTCGCTTGACGGAATTATGGTGGGGTACAGTTGAAAATGCATGAGTAAGCGGAGATAAAAGCACGTTATTTTGTGCATTTTATGGGTTGTCCAGCTCTACAAACCATTGTCTAGGAACGCTATCATCTAATTCTGTCCCTTCCCCAGCAACCGGAACAGTCAAATCCGGTTTTGATATTTACGCTGCGCTTCTGCTTGAATGTGGTATGCGGACTACAGTCTCTGAACAGGTAGGAAAAAGACCGAATTCATGGAAAGCACAGCATAAGTAGTACAACAACCTGTGGGTTAAATATCAGTAAACGAAAGAAAAGGGGTGATTTTTATCCAGAGTGCTGCCAAAGAGAAGTGGCAGCTCCGAAAAGAAGTCAATCTTCGTTTTGAAGAGTTTCATGGATCGCGACCTGATCACGAAATAGATGCGAATTATATCACGAATTGTAGGACCTTTCCCTAAGAGTCATTTCGTCGCGCGACGAACGAAAAACAAGTGATGATCCTCCAGAGGCTTCGGCATTGTAGCAGGCTAGAAGAGGGTAGGTAGAAACGGAGAGCGAACCTCAGCGGATTTGTCAAGGATACCGATGAAAATAAATGCTAGAGTTAAATTGCTTTTAAACATTTAATAATCATTCCTCTCAATTCTTGTCTATCTACCGAGCTGGTCAACAGGTCGCTGTCCAAGGGTGCATTGCCAAGTAACTGGAAATGCATATCGGTGAAGCCGATTTCGAAGGGCGGTGAACAGGGTGTTACCACCAAGCGATCTACCAACCTTTGTCTTCGTCTGGCCAGGACTAACCCACATCACATATACCGCGGAGGCTGTACTGCAAAAGCTGACATCTCTACGCAAACACAGCTCGCCGGGTGTCGACACCATTCGTCCAGATGCATTGGAAGCAGCAGCAAGCCAACTGGCAGGACCTTTAACTCAGTTTTTCCAGCGCTGCTTAGACCAGAACCAAGTTCTCGCCATGTGGAAGCTTGGAATAATAACCTCGATAACTAAAAGGTGGCAGCAGAACTGATCCCTCTAACTACCGCCCAGTATCCTTTCTTCCTATACTTTCCAAGGTCATGGAATCCATAGTTGTCGATGTACTGGTGTGCTATCTAGAAATCTGCAACATCATCACGCCTGAGCAGCACGGTTTCCGTCGACAGCGGTTATGTACAACGAATTTACTAATTGCACGCAGTAGTTGGACCGAGGCAACTGACGCTGGAGAAGGTGTTGATGTGATCTACCTGGATATTTCCAAGGCTTTCGATCGTCTAGACCATCGGATACTATTATCCAAGCTGCAGCATTACGGGATCGAGGACCCAGTTTTAAGTTGGATCGCCAACTTTCTACTTCAACAGCAATTAGTGGTCAGAGTTCGGAGCTCTTTATCCGACCCCATAGAAGTTGAGTGTGGTGTGCCGCAAGGCTCAGTTCTAGTTCCACGTTTGTTTTTGGTGTTTATTAATGAGCTTGCACAGGGAATCGTTTCAAACTTCCTAATGTTTGTCGATGATATCAAAAGCTGGCTCAAAATCCAGGCGAACAACGACGAACATGTGCTTCAGAGTGACCTAGATATGGTGTATCAATGGTCGATCCAAAACTTAGTGCCTTCCAACGTCAGTAAATGCAAGGTGCTTTCCATCCGACATCAGGGTAACTACTCATCCCGACTCGGAACGAATATACTACAACAAACAACTCTCGAATGTGACTTGGGTGTCCTGGTTCAAAATGACTTGGGTTGCTCCAGGCAATCCGAAAAGGCCTCGAAAACCTGGAACCAACACATCGGGCTGTTGCGATGGGCGTTTGGACAAATAAACAGCTCCATGTTTCGACAAGTGCTTAGTACGCATGTTCGCCCCATGTCGATTACGCAATTCAAGCCTGGCATAAATGGCTGAAACACGACCTTAGTGAACTGGAGCAGCCACAACGCCGGGCATCTAAGAACGTCATTGGAATGCGCAATCTTTCCTACCAGGAGAGGCTGCAACAATTGGGGGTGTTCTGTGGAAGCTATCGCAGACTACGAGGCGATCTGATTATGACATACTTGATTCTGCGAGACCCACATCATGTGTGCCGCCCTTTACTGCAACTCAGCAGCAATACAAACCTGAGGGGCCACTCATTAAAACTCACAGAACAATACAGTCGTCTGGAGTGCCGCAGAAATTTCTTTTCCATCCGTGTCTGTCACCCATGGAATGCTCTCCCAGAATCGGTCGTCTCTGCACCGACATTAACAGTATTTAAAAGACGGTTGGATGATGCACTCATCCACTTACACTTTGTTACTTAACACTACGTCTTCATCCTACACCTGGAGTTTACCATGGAATTATTTGATGTTAACTGTGGGTGCCGTGAATCTAAGAGGATCACAGAACTACAACGGAGCAAACGATAAGTCCTTATTTTTATATTAAAAGTATTAACTATTTTACTATCCTTATCATCATTAATGTTATGTTGATGTCCCCACCAACTATCAAACGAGACTTGTAAAGCAATGCTTCTTAACCCGTATACATTCATTGTTCATTGCTCAATACGGCTGTAAAGTCCAAAAGGAACCTTGATGCATCCCCAACCTGGATTGCTTACATGAGGACACGGTATCTCTATTCCCTGATTATTCTGCTCATTTTACATTGCTTTACTGTTTCCTACAATCGGTCACCATATCGTATATTTATTCCTTGCACTCAATCACATATCCTTGACATTGCAAGGTCATTCGTATTATTAGGTGACACTGCCCAAATACCCGCACGCCGCCGCACGCTGCACAATTTCTGCACTCTTGCACTACGATTGCAAAACCTATTCGTAAGTCATGTACTGTATTTAATATGCCTTATAGAACCACGGTTATAGGATACTTCGTTTTATTCTTCTGCCCAGACCGTGCGTTAAGGCTAGGTTTATTTGTTCGTAGTTTCTAGTTTAGTTTTCGTACGATGTACTTAGTTTAGGCTTCGTATCGTTGGTACAACGGCCATGACACTCGCAGAACTGACAACGGTGATCGACTACTTCAGCCTTGCGCCGATCACGGCCTCTTTCTGTCAAGCACTACCTTTCGGGGCTCCTGGCGCCAACGCGCAACCTGGAGATCCCCATCACCTGGCTGATGGTGGACACAAATTGACCACATCGCCTTTAGCTATTGATGGTGGGGTAGCATTCAGGATTGCAAATCAATCTGGAGTACCTACCTCAGTTCGGATCACGCGCTGTGTGTGCCAGGGTTGCACTACGTTTTGGTGGCTCCAAGAAGCGTCGCCAGAAACGGCTTGATGTAGCTAAGCTTTCTGCCCCGAACGTTCTCCACGCATTTCAGGATGCCTTGGCCTCACGGCTGAAGACTGCCTCATGCACAGACATTGGAACACACTGGACACACATCCGCGTGCCATGTACAACTCTGCAACCCTAGTATGTGGTTTCACCAGTAGTCCTGTCAACCACTGGATCTTTGTATGATCCCTCCAACTTCTTGAAGCCCGTCGAGCAATTCCTACTAGCTTTAAATACCATTCACTACACAAGACTACAAACGCTGGGTTCAAACAGCTTCTCCGGGAAGATCGCGAGGCCTGGTGGAAGCAGCGGGTCATGGAGATGGAGCAAGCGGCCACTTCGGGGAATTTCCGTAAGCTTTTCCTTCTGATCGGATGTAGTTGCGGCAAAAGGCCGACTGTAAGCGAAGTTTTATGCGAAACCAATGGCGAGCCAGTCCACTGTCAAAAACGCCGACTCGAAAGTTGGGCCGAGCATTGTGAGCAGCAGTTTAATTGGTTAGCAGCAACAATGAGTTCTCATTCTGGAGCCCAGTGAGCTCCCTGATGTGTAGACGCTACACCACCATCCGAGGCTGAGGTTGTCCATGAGCTTCGCCTCTTAAAGTGCTACAAATCCCCTGGTCTAGATGAACTCCCTCCGGCTGTTTTCAAAGATAGTCCATCAGTGGTTCAGGAGTTAACCTCTCCTCCAAGAGATCGGGGCCAATGAAGTTATTCCATCTGACAGGAGCCTAGCGGATTTCGTGCCCGTCTTCAAAAAGGGTAACCGAACTGACTGCACCAACCACAGAGGGATTAGTCTCATCTGTGTTGTTTCCAAGGTGCTCGCAGCTCTGCTTCTAAGGAGGCTCAGCCTGGTACGTAAACAGAGCATAAGTAAAGAGCAAGTTGGGTTCCGGTCAGGTCGGAGTTGCATCGATCGCATCTTTACACTCAGCCAAATACTCGAGCGCCGTTAAACATTTGGCCAGCCAACGATCGGTATCTTCTTAAACAAACGAGTCGCATTTGACTTAGTGGACAGAGGTGCTCTCTGAAATTGTCTACCAAGAAGGGGAGTACCCGAGAGGTATGCCACCTTAGTTCAAGCCATCTACTCTCAAACCTCGGGCTGTGTGGGCGTACGGCGGATTTTCGCCCCCCCCCCTTTGGTAGCACCATTTGCGTGAGACAGGGTTGCCCAGCATGCCCCTTGTTCAATTTCGCTATAGACTAAAGCTTGAGGAGTGCTCTGGAGAACTGTGAAGCCAGCGGTGTCGAGCTGCTTCCGGAGGACCAATTTCGGGATTTGGAGTATGCAGGCGATATCAACGTAATATGCGCTTCTTCACAGGCCGCCCAAAATGTTCTGTGTTGGTTGGAGATGTCTGTCTCCCAGTTTGGAATGACCTTCGAACCATCGAAATGCAAGGTTTTCCTGCAGGACTGGCTAGGCACTGCTCCTAACCTTACCCTTCTAGGTCATTCATTGGAAGTGGTGGACAAGTTCGTTTACCTCGGAAGCTGCATCAGTGCTAATGGTTTAACGGATGAGGTCTCTTTGCGCGTCTCCAAAGCACGGGTTGCTTTTGCCAATCTCCGCCATTTCTGGCGTCCAGGTGATCTGAGTCAGTTTCTAAAGGGCCGAGTTTACAATGCCACATTGTGAGCGGTTCTTCGCTATGGCTGCGAGACGGCCTGTTCGCGTAAATGATTTTGAGAGACTGTCTGTCGTGGACCATCGCTGCCATCGGAGAATTGCTGATATACGATGACATCACACTAGGAATGAAGGTGTTTGACGGAGGATTTTCAGATCAGACGAAGTTTACCAGCCACTGAGCAGTATAATTTCTCTGCGCAGACTTCAGTGGCTTGGGCATGTTCTTCGCATGCCTACTCATCGCTTGCCTCTTCGCGCATGCAGAAATCGGCTGGAAGTGAAAGCAAGGTGGCCAACGCATGACTTGGGCCAGGAGCATGAATGAGCTAACGTCAAAGTTAGCCGTGGTCGGGCCCTCTCGGCTCGCTGGCTGGAGTGTGAAGGATCCGGTACACACATGACGGGAAACATAGATGTAGCAAGAACTCGTGCACAATGGCGGGCTTGTTGTGACACTATTCCAGTGAACTCCGATTTCTCCCCTCTATCTTCATGTGTTTATTGTATTTTTAATTGTATTTTTTTCACCCATGGTCCCTCTGTAGGCGCAGGAGTCTTGTGGCTGGCCACAGTGACAGGCAAATCCGAAACCGGATGCCGCCAACCATTTGTTGTGGCACTATGTCAATTGTACTATTGACTGTGTTGATATATATATATATATATATTGCTACATACTTTAAGCATTCAGTGTTCTCCCTTTCCGTAAACTATCGGTTACTTTAGTAGGTTGAGTAGAGAGAGATCGAAATGTGATTGTTGCGGCCAGTGTATGGTTGTGTATGGTGCTCAGGTATCGGGGGTAGTTGATTATGAACCTGGTCAATGACAGTCGTAAGAAAGTAGTCTCAGTGATACCGCCAAATCCACAAATGATAGACAACAGGTTGATAAAGTTCACGTCCTTCACTCGGTGTGCACTCTAGTCCTGAATTGTTGTGAATATGAAACATTCACTCTCTCAGTTATTGGTGATAATGAAGTTTATTGGGCTCAGTATCTTGGGATTCCCGAACCCCTACGCTTTACCGGGGATTCGTACGCCCTACGCTCACGCTTATGTGCTCTCCATCCCTTGTAGCGCTTGTCTTTATACATTAGGTCCGGTGGCTCTAACTGTTCTCCGTAGTCTCCTATTTGACACGCCTCTTACATGCCATCACTTGCGACTGGTAGCCGAGTAACAGCCCAAATAATTTTTGTTTAATGTCATGGACGCTACATACATCCCGTGCCTTTTCATATTAGCACATTCGTGTTGTGTGACAACGGACCATCAGTACGGAGTACTGAGGAACATCTTTTGTAGATGATCCCACAATTTCAGTCGAACAGCAAGAGGAGTCATAAGGCGCTTGGACCAAGTGGGAGAGGAATGTTGGCAAATCAATGCTGGTAGGCTATCGCGGACACACCTAGACGATTATCACCATTGAAAGTGAGCTTGCTCGATAAAAATCCATTAAAAGCAAAGGATACCAATACTGAAGTTCTATATACATCTATTCTCTTAAACAAAGTAATGCAAGGAAATAAGTATTTCATGACAATCGAAGACTTGCCTGAAATCCCAAGGCATTAGCTGCTCTCGTTATGTTCTCAACGTACGCTTCAATCTCCGCGGGACGGAGTTCGACCAGGTAGCTGAGAATATACAAATGAATAGTAAGACAGGAAAGTCATCCCGATTTAGAAAATAAAAGTTGTAATACGTTTTCCTATGGATCGTGGCATTTTTGAAAGAAACCAGTTTTCTGTATGGGCCCGTATCCTAAAGGTAACGAGCTTGTCTTGTAATCTGACGTTGAAGGTTCGAGCCTGCGTGGGGGCAGGGCGACCCTCGCAGTATTCTTGGCGCACGTGCGACCTGTGGTGGTTGCGCGGCAGTGAAGCATCTGTACTGCGTACCGGCGTAGTGATGATGCCTTTCTCTGCATGCGTAGGGAGTACCAGCGCAACCAACATCAACAATCATATCTGCTTTAGGATGCCAGGGTATAAATAAGAATACAAAAATGTATCTTTGAATCTGTCTTGTATAGAGATGAACACGGGGCCCCCACGGCTGTGATATTGTCCGCCGTTATATAATGAACTGTTCTACACACACCCACACACCCACACACACACACACACACACACACACAATCTTACATGTCAGTCAACACTCCGCTTAACTACTAGATTGGCCAATCCCTTCACAACTGACAGTAGTACTAGCATTTGCTTCATTCAAACATTTTGCCCCTGTTTTTCCGATTGGCATGCTCCATTGATTCTTATTGCCAAAGTAGCATTACGCGTTTGAATTCCTAATTCATCCACATACTTTTAATAGTGTCAATGTATCATTAGCGTATCTGTGACTTGCATTTTTAGCCACGCTGATTGGATGGGTTGTTGCAATTAACAGCATTTAGAATTCGTGAATTAATTGAGTGGCGGCCTATGCTCTATGATCTTAGGCTTTACCATACAAATTTCGTTTATCCCGACATCAAGTCGTAAAATACAAGTATCCAGGCGTGTTGTCTTAATACATCACAGTTAGTCTGGTAAGTACGGAACCGACGCTCGTGGCCAAATTAGTGCAAATAAATCCCGTCAACCGGACAGTAGGAAGTCTGTACTTTAACTCACGCATGTAAAGCTCAGAACCCCCAAGTGCACATGGACACCATTTTGCTATTAGGAGAGCCTCACACGACAGGTAAGTAAAGGCATTTTATAAATAAGTATTTATAAGTATAATTAAACAAATATATATTTGAAGGATGTTTGTGAGTAACGTAAATTTCGTAGAAGGCGGGAGAGTCCATGGCTCGCTGACACTTTTGGGGGCGAGATCCTGACAGATCTTCGATCAGCTGCTGCTAATGTTGTGCCGTGGACTCATGTGCTGGCGACCGCTGGGCGGGAGTTCGGTTACACCCTTCTTCTTGATAACAGCCAGGGCACAATTCCGCGTGAGAAGGTTCACTGACTAATAACACACGGCCCGCTGCCTTTCGGGACTACATTGGATGGAACGCCTTGCCTGAAGACCCGAGTCATTCTTCCGTTCAGGGGTGGACGTCCTGGCAGCATTCTAGTCCAAACACTATGTACCACGCCAATAATAATAATCATTCCATGCAGCAACAGCCATCGTGCATTGACACTAGGAAAAGAGTCGCCTTATCTGATGAATACAGCGGGGTGGATAAGCGAAAAGATGCTACCGATGACATCTTTCTTATTTCTTATTTCCTTGCACATACTCTTCCCGTTCCCTTTTCACTTGCTCCACTAATTCTTCCAATCCAGATGACCAAGGGTGCGATTTCTCATCACTGTAATCGTATGTCTCTGCGCAGAGCGCTCAACGTCCAGTGCTGGAAGGTGCGCACACTACTCGACAGTCACACCTGTGAGCGACCCGAGCGACGCATTGCATTGGTCGCGATGGAACTCGCTGGCTACGGTGTTAACATTGCCGCACTTAGATAGACACAGCCCGCTGACTAAGGGAAGCAGTACGAGACTGGTGCTGGTTATAAGCTCTGCTGCGTAGGGAACGCCACCACGGCACCACGTGAACATGGGATGGCATTTGCACTACCCGGTCGTCTAAATGGTCAGCTTATGGTAGAGCCGACTGGCATCAACGCACGACTCTTCGTGACTCTTCGTCTGCGACTTGGAAGAGATAAGTCTGCAACTTTTATCAGCACGTAAGGTCCCACCATGTGTTATCCTGATGACACGAAGAAGCAGTTTTGCACTCAGTTGTCCTTCGTGATACGGTTTGTGTCCAGGAGCGATTGGCTATTCTTACTGGGTGATGTCAATGTGCGCGTTGGGCGTGATGCAGCAGTGTGGACAGACGTCATCGGATCGTATGATATTCGCTCAGCCAAGGGGAACAGCGAGCGGTTTCTCTCACTGTGTGCCATTCACGGTCTGGTGATCACGAACGCCCGGTTTGTACCGCAACTGCAGGTGAACTGGTAAATAACAGGAGAGGCCAAACCGAATGACTAACTGTTCGGACGATTGTTGAACTCGAGCCTCAGTGTAGTGTAGATGGTTCGCAGACGCGATGTGATATGGATGCGTGTTATAGTAATCTAAGATTGTGAGCAATTTCATTTGAAACATTTTCACCTTCTAACGGTAGAAATAAACAAATTCTTCTTCCCAACCGTTTATACAGGTAGCTTTCTCATGGTGGGTCTATTGTGGAACTGGATAAATTTCTCTGGATATCCGTTTGACAAGAGTTCTAGGTAGGAACTTCTCTTCACTTTGAAGCTTCTCTGGACTGCAAATATGACTGGATCTGTAGAAGAGAGTTCTGACAGGAGCGCGTTTGTATGCAACCTGGGTGAAGGGTGTGAAAGGCAAATATCGCCCACTCCAGGTTGCTTTACGGTGGACAGTGGGTTAAAGTGTACGTCTGGCTCGCGCTTCAATGAGAATGTCCAAAAAGGCAGACTAGCTTGCTGTTCCCTCTCATACGACACTGAGAGATACAGGTGAGTCTATTTAAACAGGATGACGATTCGGCCGAAATGTTCCTCATTAGTGAAGACTGAGGTGTCATCCACTTGACGTTTATACAGTTTAGTTTCATTAATGATGTTAGCGGTTTTGTTTTCGATCAGTGCTACGAATATGTCCACCAGAACCGTGCCCAGATGGCTCATCGCTGCAACAAAATGGACCTGCCTGTATGCTGATCCCACAATTTCAAACCGGACATGTTCTGTGCACGTTAATATCAGGTCACTTAGATACGCAGGCGGAAGGCCCACATATAAGTTTTGACTCAAGAGCAAACAGCGTAATTTGTCGACGGTTGCGCGCAACGGTACCTTCGTGAAAAGTGAGCCCACATCTATCGAGTGCATACGCTGTGTATCAGATTTGCCTAGTCTTGATCACATAACTTTCATTTACTCTTGTATTTTCGTCCCTCTTGTACAAAAGTTAATTTCTTTCCCAAATGTATTGCCTATGTGACTGAGAAGAACAATCAAAATGTTAACACATCGCGGCTTTTGTATTTTTCGTCTGCGTTTATCTGGTTCTATGGTTGCATTGATTTAGAGACAATTGCGGAATGCAAGCCATGGTGGCTAATCAATCACCAAAGCAGGTGAATTGTGACTGTGACATGGAGTTAATTTACTTGGGAAGCGATAGCCTGCAACCATCAGGAGTTACCTCATAACTTGCTAAGGTAGCCATACTTTTGACTTAAACTAACAGCGGACAATATTTCTATTCGTAAAGATCGAGCTAGCAAATTAGCTGGGGTTCCGAATTTTTAGTTGTTAAGAAGTTTTATAGTAAATAAAACAGAGCCAATTGTTATCAGTTGTCCACAAGATTTCTTCATGTGGTTGTACTATCTGGTGTGTGCATTGGAAACAGCTTCAGAGTCTGAAAACAAGCGGTTGCCGATCTTCGCCATCAAGGACTTATCTGTAGACATCTCTGAACTCAGTTTATCGTACGGTCTAGGTGAGATTGCAACACCTTGAATATAATGCGTTTCTCTATTGAATAATATAGTTCAAATCAAGCGGTTTTCATGTCCGGACGGTGTAACGTTCGTTAGTATAACGTACCTCTCCTCATAACCACCTAGCTTGGTGCTGCGAACTACCATCAGTGACACATAGTTGTGGGGTGGATGCAAATCGTTAATTGGGTTTTTTGAGTAGACTGCACTGAACGTACTGACTGAACGTTTATTATGGTAAAGTAGAGTACCGAAGGCGTGGGCTTTATAGCGAGTAAGCGGATCCCAAAAGCAGTGAGTGTTGAAGTTGTTACAACGATAACAATACATATATTTCTCGATTGTGCAAGAGACCGTTCCCGCATTACGGACAGATACTTAGTACAGTAATGATCATGCTTACACACGAGTGAGATATGTGCTCTGATGTGTCTGTGTATTCACAACCTACTGGAATACATGCATTTGTTGGCGCTGTTTTGTGTAGCATCTTTTCGCACTGGCTAAATATCCCTTAGTATAATTTGGAAGAACACACTTGGTGATTTGCTTGATGAAAACATGGTCATTATCTAGTTCTGGCTAAGGAAATTTCTAAGTTTAATGCGGAATATTTGTATATTTGTACAGGATCTGATAGTGGCTGGTAAGCTATTTCACACGACAGCGAATCTGGGGAGAAAGAAGTTGGACCGAATAGCTGTCTAGGTTCATTGTACAAGCAAATTATTAGCCTTGTTACAATTCTAATGTACACAGGTTGAAGTATGTCTTTTGGTTTATGAGAGTGTGTATCGGCACCAGACAGTGTTTCAATCGTCGTAACTAAAACGGCTCGAGCTTAAGCTGCTAGTAAAGCTCCCGATAGCTCAAGGTGGACGATTTACTGAACAAGCGTTCAGTGAATGGACTTTGCAGACTTTCCAGAGCTTTGCTGTCACCCATACGCATATTTCCGTAGATTAGGCCGCAATATTGTAGGATAGGAATAGTGGGTATTTTGAAAAGCTCCATTCTGGCAGGGATTGTATGGATTTTATGGTATATGTTTGCCATAGATCGGTTAGGGGGTGCTATTTGATACGCAGCCTGCTCCGAGAAATTGGAGTTTGAAGAGTATCGTATGCCTAGATCA